GCTTAGGCTGATTGCAAAGTGAACTAATTATCTAAAAAAGTTTTCACATGTGAAAGTGTGCCAGACAGTTGGCAAATTAGTGTTAATGATAGCCATACATGTGCATACTTTTGCTAGGAGTGTGTTGGAAATTTGGTAATTGAGTGTTGTGCAGTGAATTGTACCTACAGTTTTGCAAAGTGTGTGTTACAAAATTGCAAACTGAGTGCAAAGCAGTTTTTGTGCTTTTAGTTTTGCAAACTCAGTGAGTGGTTTTGCTATAAGTCTGAATAGTTTTAGAGATTGTGCTACAGGAATCACAGTTAGGGTTTAAGCATTCAGAACAAACTGTATATTTCACCCTCACTTTATTGTTTTGGCATGTTTATGCCAGATAATGCATATATTGACAAATCAAAACATGTGATTTTTTTCCAGTGCAAAGAACAAGTAAAAAAACATGAACATCAAATTTAAATCAGTATTTTTTTTATTATTATTATTCTTTATTACATTGAAGACATTTGTGGCTTTAACAGCTTATATCATAAATAATCATCAAACTGGGGATCATCAGACCTCCAAAAACAAAACAAAACTACTAAAAAGTCTGTCTGTGTCCGTTTAGTGTGGTTGTGTGTCTGACTGCAGCCATGAAGCTCTTTGGAGCCGTGTGGTGTCGCTCTGTGGGCCTTTCACATTATTTTGTGCTAGTTCAGTCTTTTTATGATTTTCAGTTTCTTGTGCCCATCACTTCTCTTCATGGTAAATTTTCATCACGTTTTACTTATTTTGTGTCTTTTGCATTAGTTTTTATCTATTTCCTGGTCTGTTTTCTCTTTTTTAGCCCTCTAGTGTCTGTTTGTGTCGTTTTACCCTCCTTCATCTTTCTCTTATTTCTTTGTCTTTTTATGATGGTGTTTGGGTGGCAGGGTGTTATTACAGCATCACAGTGAGAAGGTTCTGGATTTGAATAGCTTCATGTTGGGCCTCCTTTTAGCCGGTTAGTTCTCCTGTACAGAACTTTGTGGTCGCTGTGCAGGTGCTGCAGGTTTTCTTTGGGCCATATTTGGTGTTGTCTGACAGTCACTGGAAGGACAATATAAGACCCAAGGCAGCAGACTCATCGAGCTCAGATGCAGCACTGCAGCGAATATGCTGCAGGCTGGATTGCAAACATCACAACACACCTGACTCTGTGAGGTGGACCGGCGGCGGAGCTGAGCATGAAGAGTCCTCCTGAGTCAGCGCTGTTTTGATCTTTACTTTGTGTCATCTTGGAAAAATAAAATACTAATAAAAAGTCTCTCTGTGTCCGTTTGTGTCTGTTTCTGATTATTTTATCAAATGTCATACAAAGAGTTGGTCAAGGTTCTGCGCACAATATCCATTTATGGTGTTAGAGGGAAAAACTCACCAAGCCGTCATCTTCTGACTGGATTTATGTGAATGACGGGATTCACAAGTAAAATCTTATGATTTTTAAAAACAGGAGTAAAATCTGTGCTTGTGGAATAATCCTGAAATCAGGATTTATGAGAACAAGAAAATATTGTTAGAATTACAAAAAGGTGGAGCTCTCTGGAGACTCAGGGAGCTTCTCCACCCCTCAGAACAAAATTCAGAGATATTTAAACTGGATTAAGTGACACGGAAACACTTCAGCTCCTGCTACTCAGAGATGTTGTTTAATTATAATATCTGTAGTTACCTTCCAGAGTAATCTGAGTAATGTTTATATTTCCTCACATTTATAGTGACGATCAAAGAGAAACTTGTTGTTAAAGGTACAAATATTCAGACGGGCTCTGCAGCTTTAAAGCAGCTCAATGTGTTTCTAGAACAATCCTCACGCTCACTGTTCTCACTCTGCTGGAAGCAAGTCTCTGATTTATTCTTAATTTAAGCTGAACAACCAACCTGAGAAAGTCAGGATTTAAGAACAAAGTGACGTTACTGGATTTTAAAAAAAGGTTCACCTGGAAAAAACCTCCAGAACCACAGAGAAGAAAATTCTTATTAAAAAATCCAAATTTTGCCATCTTCCAAAAACTCTCTGCAAATTATTTAGATTTGATTATTCTTCTGCAGTAAGTTTAAACCAGGAGTCAACAAATCTGTCCCCGAATATGAAATGAGGATGACGTCTAGAGGGCGGGGTTATACAGGATGACCTGAGCCAATAACGACCGATTCAAACTACAAAGTCAAAGGTGGAATTGAAAAAAATAAAAAAAACCTTACCTGCTGGGAAAAGGTCTAGTAGTTATGAGCATGTCAGTGTCCACAGATCAAAGTCTTTCAAATTCGTTCAAATCCTCATATTTAATCATGTTTACAGTAAATATAAAGCTTCAGGACTGTGTGACAACCGCAGTACAACAACTGGCCAGCAGGTGTCAGCAAAGCCTCGGGTCTGCTTACAAATGTTAATAATAAACATTACTGATGCTCAGACCCTCATTATCATGTCTGTAGGCGCCTTCCAGAATAATCTGAAGAGTTTCATCTAAAGAGAGAAGTTTAATGAAGAGCTGTGTGGACTTATTTGGTTTAAAGATGTTGCTGCAGTAAACGTAAGAGCAGGGATGGGGACAGTTTCTTAGGCATGCTCCAGACTCGTCCTCCATGACCTGCCATAAATTACAGCATGAATAACAAGCAGGATATAGACCTGCAAAGCCCAGAGGGATGTGAGCACACTTACAGACGTCAGTGTTTTGTAGGTTTGCTGTTGAAGCGATGGTTCTCGGGCCTGTGGGTTTAGTCTTCCTGCATAAAATCACTTTTCCTGAAAGCTTTTTTGGCTCCTCGCTGCAGGTATGTCAGCTGTGTGACTGTGGTGAGTGTGCTCAGCCTGAAAGCTCTCATGCAGCAGGTGAAACATCTCTGACTGGGTCAAACTGGTGAAGCTGAGGTGTAAATATTTCCCCGAGTGCGGCTTTCCCAACTCTGTAAAGGCGGTGAGCGTGACGAGGCTGACGTCTCTGATGTTTGAGTTCATTTCCTGTCCTAATCTCTGAAACGTGTTCCAGCTGCTGTGTCTGTGTAGGCTGTTTTATTTACAAATGCTTTTCCACATCTCTGCTCTGACCCGCTGACGGCCTTTCCACCTCCAGAGTCCAAACTGGGGTTAAACTGGTCCTGATGAAGGACACCAGGTCACCCGGCTCTTTTTTAAGGTTGTGACTTTAAAGACTTAAAAGACCAATGAGAGGGTTTTTTCCTGCAGTCTGAGGTTCGAAGGTAACTTGGATTTTAAAAGGACAACAAACATGGTCACGTGACTGAACTGGGAGAACAGGATTTGTGTACAAAGAGCTGAATTGATGTAAGTTCTATGAATGCTGTGGTTTCTTTCTGCTGCAGAGCAGTTATGGAAAAAAATTAAACTACAACAAACAACAATTTTGCATTTTTTGTATTCATTTAACAGGATGGATGATGTGTGAGGGGGCGGGGCTGAAAGGTTTAATGAGAAACTGCTGAAGGGCTGAAAAATACTCCATTACAATTATTTGTTTCTCTGTGTTTAAAGATCTTTGAATGATTAAATCTGATTTACATTCGTTTTAAAATGTTCAGCAGTCTGAGGGCAGAAACTGACCTTTACTCACATTATGAAGATGCTTTCATTCCTTCATGTGAAAAAGTCTTAACAGTGTTTGTATTCATTTATTTGGGACAAGTAATAATGAGAGCATCGGTTCAAAGAGCAGGGAGGATACAGGACTCAGTCACAGCTGAGCTGGAGACCTCATCCCTGATTGGACCTTTAAGAAACAAACTGTTAAATGACCCCAAGTGAGACGATGAACCTGTGGTTAAATAATAAATATTCAATTACTGATGAGTCGTGATTTTAAAGTCCTGTCAGAAAAACTGATCCTCTTTGAAACGTTGAGTTATTAAAGGGGAAAATACAGCTGCTGGTTATAAGAAGAGAAATCCTCATTTTCTGTGTTTAGGTTAAAATAATTACGCTGGTAAATGAAACCTGTTATTAATCTTATTACTTTAAAATAATCTGCAGATTCAATCTAGCAAATGCCCTCTGCTAACCTGAAGTAAGACGTTGACCACCGGGGGGCAGCGGTTTCCTGATCAGGGGATCTGAACGAGTCTGCTGACACTGCTCCATCGTGTGGTTAATGTTGGTATTACATGTACATTACATGTACATTACATATTACATGTAACCTGGCCCAAGTTGAGGTTCAGTCCACCTTAAATACAGATGTTTGGGGCATGAGGTCAGCCTCAGTTTATTTACAAGGTTTTAAACAGCAGTTTACAAAAGGCTCAGTCAGTTCTCACAAGTTTAAACTGTTCAATAAAAAAATGTACAAGTACAACAAATATGAAGTACTGGGTGAAATGCAGAGCTGCAGAGAAACAGGATTATGACGTTTGTAACTTTAAATGTGAGCTGTGCTGCTGACCAGACTCTCAGCTGCTGAGGCCAAAGGTGCAGTTGTGTTTATCCACAGAACGATTTCTTCTGATTTCTGAGAACATTCGACTTTAAACCTGTTTATCTGACAACACTGATTCAAAGAGGATCAACTGAAAATCAATAAATTGTCACAGTGATCAGTCATCTCGTTTCAGCCAAATCTTAATTTACATCATTTTATCCTAGAATTTGTTTCCTTTCTTTCCTGCGATCATTTAAAACTGAGGTCAGGGTTGAAAAGCTCAGCTTCATATGTTGCTGAGTGACGTGGTTTAAAGAGCAAAGCTGCCAGTCTGTCAGCTGGAAACATCTTTTTGATCAAATAACCCGAGTACAGGTGTTAGAGTTATTTCTGCTGAAAGCAGGAGCAGGGCTTCTGCTGGTGTCGCCACTTTGAGGAAGACCTTTGGATGTTTGCCATGAGGAGCTGAGACGTGTCCTGCTGGTGTTTCTACTGAAAGCAGGAAAACAAGCATCACAGATCGACAGGTGTCCAAATTCAGGATGTTCAGACTTGAACCCTCTTTTTTAAACTGTGTCTGTGCTTCGTGTTCAGGCTGATTTCACAGTTTCATCATTAATAACCAACGATGATTAATGATGAAACTGTGATTAATGCGGGAGGCTCAAGAAACTGCGCGTGGAACTCGAACTCCTGTTTGTATGTTTACCTGAAGCTTCAGAGGTCAGCGTGAGTGGGCCGCGTCTGTCAGTGTGTGTCCCACTTTATTGTGCGTTGACGCTGTGATTGTTGTCGTCATCAACAACCTCCCGCGTGCTGATGTCTGATGGTTTCTGCGGTCGTTCACGCGCTGAGATCTACTGACCAGGGGGCTGGCTGTTAAATTTGGGCGGACAGGAAATGCAGAGGGGCTGATGATGTCACGTGAAGCTGCTGAACGCTGCCACCTGCTGTCTGTAAATGTCATTGCACCCACCTGCCCCACTGTGATGTGTCTTTGTCCTGTGAGCTCATGTCTCCTCCGACCGTGGAGCGACTGATGCTCCCGTGAGTCTGGTCATGTGACATGTTGTATTTCGTCACTTCCTGCTCCTTCGGTCGAACCTGCATCCTCACATCAGTCTGACTAAAGCTGAAGTTTCCACATCACGCATGAACCGAGGCCCCAGATTAGCGAAGCCGTTAGTCCCGATAATCTCAGAGCAGTGGTGGAGTGTAACTGAGTACATTTACTCGAGTTTAATAGACTTTATTGAAGTACTATGTTATGCTCTGATTCTACTCAACGGTATTTCTGCATTTAAATATGTGACTTGTACTCCACACCACTTTATTTCTTATGAAGCTGAATGATTCTCCGAGTGGTGCACGACTCACCCAGACCATTAGAGTGAAATCCACTGATTAATCAGTAGATATGATCCAATAATAATCCACTCTGCCTAATGAGTCATTTTACTTTAACGGGATTTGAAGCTCAAGCTGCGAGCTGAAATGTTTACATTTGTAACACAAAGGAGGCTGCGTTACAGTGATTCCTGTGTGTGAGCGCTCACCAAGGCTGCATCCAGTGAAGCTTATGTCAAGCAAAGCCTTCACACGCAGGTTTGAGTCCACGTCAAGTAAACGGGGCGTCATGAACAGGACTGCTGCTCTTAAGTTAAAAAGAAAACGAAGTACCGTTAGTTTGTCTAAGAACGTGTTTCTACTTCATCTGCCAAGATTTGAGAGAAGCAGCAGAAAGCGAATGCTCCAAGCTAAAGTAACAACACCAAGAACCAACGAAACAAATACAAAAGCAGCAAAAGATGACGAGAGAATCAAAAAGATCACGAGGAGAAAAATCGGCCACAAAGGAAACTTCAATTAAAGTGACAAACCAAACAACTACAACGAAGCTCCAAACGAACGAGTGAAAAACAGGCTGAAGGCCTGAAAAAAATAAAAGACACAAACGACAAGAAATAGAAACAAACTTACATCAGAGACGAGATGAAGCTGCAAAAATGATCATGAAAAGATGAAAAATAACAGCTGCAAAGAAAGACCAAACAACTGAAGACGCACAAACACATCCTAGTGAAATGCAAACAACTAAGACTCAAGAAGACAAGAGACAAACTGAGAAGACGTGAATTGTCCAAAGACGTCCAGGCCTGCTAGAAAAGACCAGAATAACCACAGAGACGCAAACTGCTGATGATGACATAACTACGAGACTTTTATCAGGATGTATTAAACAAAACTGACTCAGAAATAAAGACGAGTAATTCCAAGTTCATTTTATATATTATTATTATTATTTGTTTATTTCTAAGTTTGGTGATTAAAACAAACCTGAGATGTGCTTTGCTTTATGATTAGCATTAAATTTAAAATTCAAACAGAAAACTATAATTCCCAAACTTCCTGAAGTCTGAAGCACAAAACTGACACCTGTACAGGTAAGTTCAACCTGCGACCTTTACAAAGTTTATTTACAGAAATGAACTTTGTCATGAAATGAGTCTGATTTAGTAAATCCTGATGGACGTTCAGATGAGGTTTGTCTATAAACAATACATTTTAAAAAGCAGTTGTCGGGGGGGGGGGGGGTGAAAACAAGTTAACCGTTGTCTCTGAGAAATACCTGGAAACTAAATAACAATGAAACATGGGTAAATGTCATTCTTCATGCTTCATACAGATGATCAGTGCAGAAAATTCATGTCAAATATTCAGTTTTAAGTCAAATTTATTAATTCAGGAAGATCTTTGATCAACATGTATTTTGTAGAAAGACATGAGAACAAACTATATGCTGCAAAAAAATCAGACACAAGATTCAAACGAGCCGACGTGAAGCTGAGTCACGTGAGTGGATCAGAAAACAAACAAACATACAGGCCTGTGGTTGTTGTTGTTTATTAAAAGGCCTCGGCACTGTCAAACACACACTGGTCAAAATGCTAATGAAGTCGTGGATCCTCAAGATGGTATTGTCAGCATAAACAGTGCAGATGATGTTGTACGCAGGAGCAGGAAGTCCTGTCTTCAGCTAAAAGTGACACAGAGGTGAGGGCGACTGTAAACACTTGAATAGCTTTGATGTTGGATATCGACGCAGGCTCTGTGGTGCTCGTGGGGGGAAAGGAAGCGCTATCATCAGCTTCAAAACTGACTTTGCAGAATGAAGCTGGACAATATTTACTGTTGGAAACATTGGAAAAACTAAGGCACCTATTATAGAACCACTACAAACTTCAATGAACTTGACTTAACGAATATACGGAGGGCCAGTGTAGCTCACAGTGTGACCACAGGCTGAATGTCTACTCCTCTGCACCTACAAATATGCTATTTAATAGTCCCCCAAAATAATGATCAATAACCTGTTTGATAAATATGTAATACTTTGATTCCTTAATATATTCTTAATCAGTGGTTAGAAAATCTGGTGAAGCAGATTGGATCCTGACATGATCAATGTTCATGTGCAGAGTGAATGACAGTGGGCCTGATGTTGATCCCTGTGGGACTCCTTAAAATGAAGCTAATCCTAGAGGATGATTTCTCTGTTCCCTTTGAACCGATTATCATCATCTTCACACAAACCATTTCTACCTTTTTATATATAGTTTGATCTTTTGTCCTTACAGGTCGGGTACAGGTTTGCTCCTCGTATGATCTCGTAAACGTCAGTGTGATCGGTAAATCCTGATTCTTCTTGTGTGGTTTTACTACAAACAGCCGTCGTCTCCCTTCTGATTAAACTTGGTGACACTTCTAATGTTCATTTCCTCCTTTTTCCATTTAATAATGGATCTGCATCTGTAAGCTTTTCTGTCACTACGTTCACTCCTTGGAACTTTTACCATAAACGAGAAGAAACACTCATCTGTTTGTAACAGTCACCGCCCCCCTGGTAATCTGATTGGCTCTGATCGGATTACATTACTCTCCTCTTCCTCCACCAGCTGTCTGATTGGTTGTGCAGCTGTTAGCTGGGCCCACATTGCCGTCGGCTTTAAGAATCGCAGGTGGTGAATTTGAGCGTTGGGTGAACAGGCGCAGAGCTCCTCTGCAGATCAGCGTGAACCAGTAAAGCTGAAGAGGCCAGAGCAGGGCCGTCCCCAGGTTACACTGCCATGGGGCCACCAGGGGCACCCGGTACATCGGCATCGATGCATACCTGAAACACAAGGCAGGGGGCGCTGTGATCAAAGTTACACTGACATTTTAATACTTTACGAATACGAATACTTAAAATTGTAAAACATCGAGAACTATTTTGAATGTTTCTGGTTGTGTCAGGTCATCATGGAGTTTTATAGCAGCGGCCTTATTTCTCTGAGGCCCCTCTGCTGGCTTCCAAAAGTTAGTCTGAACTCTGAATCATGCAAAGCTGCGATGAGATGTGGCTCAGACATTCATGAACAACTCGAAGTCAGTTCAAACGCAAAAGATTTTAATACAAGAATAATTACACGACAGCGATTAGTCAACGAAGTAGAGTTCAGTTTCTCTGCAGTGTGACAACGAGTCCTCTTAAAACATGTTTACGTTTTCTACATAAAGTCAAACGAGTCGAAGACAAGCAGAAAAAAGTTTTACATAAAAATATAATCTGTAAATTTCAAAGTTATTTGGAAGATTTGATCATTTATAAGATTTATAACTGGATAGAAAACAGATATTATTGGTTTTTGAGGTGAGCCAAACTGAAATATAAGTTAGACATTTAAAGAAAAATTAAATAAGTACTCTGATATTTTTAACCTTCAGAGAAAAAAGCAGCTAAAAAGTGTAAATCTTAACTTCTCGCGACAGAAGAATCTTCAGTTTGTCTGACTCACAGTCACACAGCGTTCTGGATGTTTCTGAGGAGTCAGAAGATTCTCGCTCACAAAGATGAAAGATCACAATCTTCTTTCACCGTCACGCTGCGGATGTTGTGGCTACAAGTTTTTACGTACTTGCACTGAACTACGTGTCCTTTGGGCCCGACGTCGAACACTGTAACGTCTTCGGCTCACGCGCCCTCGGCTCAGAGTAAACGGGCTCATTTTTTATTTGATTATGTTGAATTTTACAAATATCTTAAAATGAAGTCGAACTCATTTCATTTGATTTGCTACATAGTTTGGTTTCATAACACAAAGTAAAAGAAAGTTACGCTCAGCTCAGCCTCTGAAAGGAAGCAAACGTGGGTCGTGTTGCTGTTCAACAGTTTTTATGTGAAACCTGTTTTTCACTGAACACTGAGACACACACAAACCACGTCCACCTTTAAATGAACTGATAACTGAATGAGATATAAATCCTTATAGATCTGTAATGCTGGCTCATCTTTTCCACAATAAATCAACAAATGGCCAAGAAATATTTTTGTTTGTTTGTGTTGTTTTAGAAGACAAAGAGGAAAATCATTAAACAAATATTGATTCATTTTGGGGGCTTTTGTGTTTGCAGACAATCACTGTTGTTTTTGATCATTATTACAAAAGCAGAGGTGGGCGTGGCTTACCTGCCGTAGGCGTAGTACAGGTAAGGAAAGAGTAAGACCCGACAACCGAAGAAGGTGAGCAGCATGACGACGCCGTTCACTTTGTGCAGCAGCGTGTGCTGCTTCTTATACTGAAGACATCGTCATCATCATCGTCATGAAGAGAAACGAGACAGAAAACAAATAATTCATTTTAACAAATAATGACAGGAGACGTCAAACGTTGGTTCTGATTAGAGGTGGAAATGTTTCAGTCAGAGTTAATTATGTAACTGCTGATCTAATACTTAGCATTCTGTATGTGCTTGAAATGATTTTAGAAGTCAGAGCTTTCATTAAACCAGTGTACTTTATCAAATGTGAGCTTTTTAAAGTCTATTTGCACAGGTGATAGAACACAAACGATTAGAAATCTGTAAAATAGAATTAAAGACAAGAGCGCTGTGTGAGTAACTACAGTGTGTTCTGTGTATTTTCACGGTGAAAAAACTGACCAGTGTGTCTCGCTGGGACGTGATGTGTTGTCCAGCACGTTATTAGAATATGTTGGTTTGCCAACAGCAGCTGGAAACGACAGTATTTACATTTTCTATTGAAAAATGAAAACGGTTCCAGTTTAAAGCTGCAGTTATTTAACCACCTGAACTCTTTCATGGCATGCTTTTGTAATTTCTCTGTGATATTTGGGCTGATTGGGACCTGATGATGTAAAAACAAAGAATTACCAGATTTTATTTTTTTTACCTGATTTTTGTTTCTGAGAAAACTGGGATCCATGTCTGAGGAGGTTTGTTTTAAATTTCGATAGAGCGGTGGCAGTATGCTGTCCTCACAGGTGGACATCGGGCCCTTGTAGAGACAAATTCTGTATTTTGGTCTAAATAACCCAAAATGTGACGTCCACATATGTGGTCCTAGGAGGTTAAAGTGTAGACGACAGAATAAAAATGCTTTACTTTAAAAAAGAAAAGAAAAAAAGAGACTATTTTATCCCAAATCAATTTTAAATTATCTGCTCCACAAGCGTGGAGAGAGTCCCAATAAGCATGTGCAGAGAAAGCACAGTGCTCAGCTTTTCCTGATGTTAGAAATTATGGAGATTATAGATTATAGTCCCCCTCAGGTTTCCCCAGAATCAGTCTAAACATCAGCAGACTCATGCTGCTGAGGGAGACGGTGGATGGAGGCATATGCACTTAAAAAAGCAGCGGATCAATTTAGTGTTTAGATTATTATACATTTGGTGCCAGGACAGAGACGATATAATCCAGAATAAACTCAAATGTGTTTCTGACATGGGTCAGGGAGACGATACACTACACATGCTCATGATTTTAATAGCCGTGCTGCAGAACAGAGAGAAATATAAAACATCCTCATCCTTGAACTTCTATACTTAGAAAACAAATAGTTTGCTCAGCGCTCCAAATGTGAAGGAAGCAAACGGGGTTCATGGTCAGACTGTCAGGGTGAGGACGAGGCGCCATCACAGCAACGCCCCCAGTTATAACCCGACACACTGACTGAGTGATGATTTGTAAAAGTCTGTCATTGAACTAAAACGTAGATTAATGAATCAATGAGTTAATTATTTAATGAATAAAAAACCAGCCTGGTTCTGCCGCAGGTTTCTTCCTGTTGAAAGAGAGTGTTTCCAAGCGCTTGCTCATAGGGGGTCATATGATTGTTGGGGCTTTACCCTAAAGCCCCCTGAGACGGCTGCTGTTGTGACTTGGTGCTATATAAATGAAATGAAATTGAAATGAATAGTCCAGTGTAGACTGGCGACCTGTCCAGGGTGTACCCTGCCTCTACAAACAGCTGGGATAGGCTCAGCCCCCCCACGGCGAACGACAAGCGGACGAGAATGGGTGGATGGATAGTCCAGTGTGGCGGTAGAGAGACGAAAGAAAGAAGGAGAATGGAAGGACACCGAAAAGTGCTGAGAACAAATGATATACAAGTGACTAAACTAAAGAAATGCTCAAGCAGCCAGTGCAGCACGATGATGGCTGCTGGTCACTCAAACACGAGCCACCATTCGCCAATCTTTCACTCCTTCACATCTTCTAAAGGCAAAAAGGAGCCGCTTCATTTTCCACATCTGTGATTCTTTCCTGCCCGTTTCCTTTGGGAAAGTTCTCCATGATGAACTCTGAATGTCCTTCTGGTTTCCAAGTCCTCTCTAAGGGCTCACACTTGTTTTCGCTTACGTTTGTATCAGAGGTGACCCGTCCCTCAGCCTCGTCCCTGTAGGAGCTGACTTTCCCTTCAGTGTCCGGCACCGTGGCTTCAGTGTCTTTTGCGTGGACACCCTGATCTCTGACTCACCCTCCTGGGTCCTCATGTGCTCCGCTAATAAAAGCATCCGTGCTCGTGCTAGCGTTAGCTGCTTGTGGTTTTAGTGTCTCTTTAGAACGAGGAGTTTTCTGATTTTCTCGACTGAGCATCAAGGTTTCACATCCAAGCAGCAGCCTGCTTGTCTTAATGTTAACGTATAAAGTTGGTTTCTATTGGAACGTTTGACGTCATGTGTTTTCTTAAATCAATCAATAAATCTGTTTGATCTTTTTTTTGGTAGTCCAGATCAATACTAAACACTGAATGAGTTTAGGTATCTGACACACACACACACACACACACAAGTAAAAGGTTGGAGGGAGGCGGATTACCTGGATCAGGACTTTCCCCAGAGAGACGGACGGGGTGCTGAGTTCAGCCAGAAACAAGACGCCCTGGAAGTAGTCACCTTTACCCTGCCTCCACAGCTGACACACACACAGGAAGGAGAAACTGTAATTTAATGTACACATGTTTTACTATAATAACAGACTGTACAAAGACGATGGATGTAGCCACCATGATGTCACCCTCACACTGGAAACCCCGCAGTGTTAGCATTTTGGAGGTGATCACATTTGGACCACAGGGTCTCAAGAGCGCTAAGTTAGCAGCTAATTCTAGCTAGCTTGGTTATCATAAACTATATGGGAGCATCACACAGATATTTGCCAATAACAGTCAAGTTACATCCGAATAAAATCTTAGAATTCCACCTAAACTGGAGCTCAGACGGTCTGTTAGTACAACAGCCTCACAGCAGACGTATTCTCAGTCAGATCATTAAAAATGCTCCCAAAGGCCCCGACAGCTTAAACATGGTCTAGAGGTCCAGTTCAGGGACTTCAATTAGCTGCAGATACAGCCAAAGAGGCCACGCCCCTAAACTTTAAGCCTTAATACGTTTTAAACAGTTTTTATAAAGGAGCAAATGATCTGTTGAGACTAAAGTTTTTCGTAGCACTCATTGCCACTCGCTGGGACCTCCAGTGGATGTCAGAGGAACTGCAGCTTTTGGCACTTCAGAGTTTGTTTGAACCTCAACAAGCTGAGTCCTACTTCCTGGGGGTTTTAGCTCCAAAATGACTCCATGTTTTATTCAGTAAGACCTGAAACCAGCGACTGCCACCATCAGTTCATCAGGAAAGTGTTCACTAAGCTCAGACAGATGCGCTGAAGGTTAATTTTATCATAGACTTCTATTCATGAGTCGCCCAGAGAACAAATGCAAAGGTGTCCATCTTTGTGTACAGTCTATGATCAGGGTGGATGTGTCACTGTCAATGTTTGCTGTTGTCATAGTTACCAGAGAGGCGGGGAAGCAGAAGGTCACCATGAAGATGTGGTGCAGCACCATGAGGAACTCCCTGCGCAGGTAACCAATCACAGTGGCTCCCATCAACCCAACGCTTTGGCCCGCCTCCTCGTGACCTTTGACCTGCAGCTTGTGCCGGTAACACAGAAACATGGCGTAGATGTCGTAGGCAAAGTAAGGCGTGGCAAATAAGATGTAGGCATCAGTCAGCCAATGTCTGAGCAGAGAGGAGATGGAGAGAGGCTGAAGCAGCATCATTACTTTGATCTCCGATTTAAGACATCAGGTTCATTTAGGCAAGAAACATCCAAGACACCGCCCTGTGCTCCAGTTTAACGTTATCTGACCCATACATCCACCCGGGCCTCCTCCCTGCACTCACTTCATGGCTCCAACACTTTGTCACCCGACTTCCTTTACTGCAGTAAGCATGGGCATCCACTAGTGGGCGCTGTCACACTGAAATGCAAGTAGAAGAAGCTGCAGTTCAGACATGAAATGTCTGAGCCTCTTTGGGCACCTTTTCCTCCGTCTTCTAAGCAGGTGTCCACAGATGAATAATTAAAACAATCATTTAGATCTGATTAGACTCCCAGAGTCTAAAACAAACTGCACCTGCGTGTTCAGCTGTCCTTCTCTTCTTATTTCCAACTCTAGATTTTCTGTCTTGGAGTCTTCTAAAGCAGCTTTGCATGAATCACACTTGAAAGAATTCCTTCTTTGTCTCACACTGGAGCCTCTCAGGTCATCCTGAAACTAGTTTTTCCTCCCTGTGAGAGACCTGTCTTTTCATTGGCTGCCCCTCATACACAGCATGTGGGTGAGGCTTGTGTATTATCCCAACTTTGTGACATCACACTGATCCAAGAGTTAGAAAAAAGAGCTTTTGTCATTACTGTGCATGCTGTAACGTGCAGTGGAGATGAAGCCAGCTGCGGAGGTGTGCAGGTGGAGAGCGAATCAGCAACGGCTTCTGACTTTCCAGAAGTACTCATTTATTTAAAGTATCAAAAATAAAAGTACCACCTCTACCACACATTTCCTGAGAGCACACTAGCCCACGTACACACAGAAGAATCCATCGCAGAGAGACTGCGAAGAAGAACAAAATGGGGGCGCCGCCACGTGGCGATACACTGCATTACAACAGCAACTGTTCCAATACACTGAGCTCATGGTCATGTTTAATATGAGCATCAGGAGCAACAGGAGATGTGATGGAAACAAGGAGAACAACATTTATTATGTGGCTCCATCCGTCCACTCCGACCTCCACCCTGCATGGACAACCAGCAGCACCTTTTCCAAAATCACCCTGATACTCCTGATACGTGTGAGTGGATGAAAAGCTCAGCTGTGCAGGCAGGAGCCTGAATGCTGAATTGTCAGAAGTGTATTGGAGGTTTTTAGGATACTTTTACTGTGGTAAAGCACTGAAACGCTTCCTTCTTTCCTATTTTTGAGGTAAAAATGTATTTTCTAAACTGAACTTGCTGCTGCGCTGTAGGTGTACGAACTCCCAGAGTTCCTTGCTGCTTGTGGAGCGTTGTGATTTGATAAGCAAATGCAGCTCAGACTCAGATTCAAACCTTTGCTCCACTTTGACTGGGAAATGAGAAACCAGCTGACCACCACGGCGCTCCGCTGTCGTCCCTCTGCTCCTTGACAGAGTTTCATTTCCCATCATGCTCAGCGTGCAGGATTAGTCTCAGACTGAAATAACCCTGCTGCTGCTGCACATTAGGCTCAGATTGTTAATGAGATTATCGGCTGAGCTTTGCTTCATACTGAATCCTCACACTGAGGCTGAGGGCTTTACCTTTTCTATGCAGCAGCAGAAAAAAAGCTTTAAATATATTTTTATTCCTGGATAAAATAATAATTTTCTTTGGGAGAATTCAGCTGAATGTTAACATCAAAAATGTCTAAATTCAAAATAATCTGGGAGCAAATTTTGATGAGAAAAGAATACATAACAATGACACTGCTGATAAATGGACCACAAAGAGGGAAGGTTTAATTGTATGAAGGTAAAATGATGAAGAGACAATAAGAACCAGAGGAGTCCTCACCGGTCCTCGATGACGTCCCTGCAGGACGCGATGATGATGCATCCGGCTGAGAAGGCCATGATGGACTGGATGGATGACACCAGGCTGAGAACACAAGCAAGATAATAATCAAAGCAGCTGAAACAAGAGAAACAAACAGCTGAACTTTAACTGGACATGTGTCGTATGTTTGCGTGATGCATCTAAATCTTCAAAAAAAGAACTAAATAAAATAAGCGCTTCACATTTAGGTCTCATAAAGCATGCAAAGGCTCCAGCGAGGAGCTGTTTGAGGTGACAGCTTCCTTATTGTTGGAAAGTAAAACTAATACTCACATGGACACGTAAAGTCATTAAACCAGTTACAAACAGTGCAAAAGATACAACTACAGATACACAATAACTACAAAGAGACACAAAGTGATGAGGGACAGCAAACAAAAACAGTCTTGGTTCATCTGCAGCAGCTTCAGCTCACACACTGTCGGGTCAAACTGAGGCCAGGATAAGACTGGGACTCACTCACTTCTGGGGAGGTCATCCTCCGTAAGTCAAACTGCGTTTAAGAGAAAGACAAGTGTGATGTCCTCTGAAGTGTGTGTGTTCCTACCGTGTTGACACGACAGCGGCGTCCCCCTCGCTCCATCCCATCAGCTGTTTGAGAGCCTGTTTGGACAGGAGGAAGAGTCCTGGGAAGAAGACGGACCCGGCAGCCACGAGGCCCCACATGGCAACACACTTCTCAGAAGTGTGCACGTGTGTGTGTGGCTTTACTCTCCCGCTCCCGTGGATGTGGGAGGTTAGGCGAGCACGGGTTGGTAGGAGTGGTTTGGGGGAGGAGCCTCCTGCTGCCACCTGTCAGAGGTGTGGTGATGGGAGAGGATCTGCAGGCCGGGTCAGCAGAAAGCAGGTCCCCTCCAGCTTATTCATGTCATTTGATTATTTGCAAATCAGTGTGAAATACGAGCAACGCTTTATTCACAGGCGGGCCCTCATCTCGAGGAACGTCCTCGTAATCTGCTCAGAGTAACTAGGAGCACCAAGGGACATAAAAATACATTTCAAATTAAAAGTCAAGGCTGAGTTTGCCCCCACCACCGTGGGTGTGTGGGTTCCTCCCACAGTCACCTGCAGTTAGTGGGGTCAGGTTAACTGGTGCCTGTGAACGGTTGTTGGCTGGAGACCGGACCCCCGCCTCTCGCTCTGGATGGAAGTTTAAAGTTATTTTGCACATTTTGTAGTAAAAATAAATTTGGATTTGAATGTTTGCTTCTCTTATTTTGAGACTTTGAGTTCTCCATAGAAGTTAGATTTTCTGAATGTGATGCTTTCATCATCATTAATCAAAACTGAACTACAAGCTTGGACATCACTTTGTTTTATAGATAATAATGAAGAAATAGTTTTCTTTTCATTAGAAGTAAAACGATGTGACATTAGCCTGAAAAAAGTGAAATCACACTTGAATTGCATGTTGTGTAGGGAGATTATTATAGTTATTATAAATGAAAGTGTGCACGTCTTCATTTTGTGATGTTCATGTGAGAAGTTCTTAAACAGCAGATGCAGATCAATCAAACAGCAGCAGCTGAACGAGCATTCATATGATTTGACTTCATTAAAAACCATCAGTGCTGCAGTATTAAAACACTGCTGACACACAAACTGAAGCCAAATCTGACGTCCGTCTGCTGCGACTGTAGAAGCTCCAGCAGGAAATACAAACACGTTCCTGTCATCACCGTTTAATGAATAATGAAGCATTTAGTCATTTTTAACACTCTGATGCAAACTCTTTAGTTTTACATGAATGACTCAGACACCGGTGCAGGGCAGGTAGATGTAAAGCAGAGAGGGCGGAGCTTTCAGGGCTAAAGGTTAAAGTTCAAAGTCTGTTTCCCTGAGTTAGCCCATATTTGTCTGAAGGAGCAGATAAGAGACTGACAATGTTTAACTTTTTCTTATTTTAGTCGATTTGTGATGATTATGGATATACGAGCCTCAGTTATTCAACCATAACTGGGGCACAACAGGCCGAGCACGTTTAAGGAGTTTATAGCTGGCGCCGAGTAAAGTTCATGAAACTAGAAACGAGAGGAGATTTATTTTACTGCCAGACTTCTGTGGCTTCAACAGATGAATTCTTATATTATTAATGATTAATGCGAGCAGGTGAAAGGAGGAGAGAGTCAGAATAAATGAGTGTGAATCAGAGGGAGGCGAGGAAGGTGGAGTTTAAATACCAGCCACCAGAGAGGTGGAGACGAGTGAGAGCTGATCTGTGGAGGAGAGCAGCAGGAGGGAAGGGAGGGTTTAAAGACCTGCTGGGGTGCTTCAGAGACGGAGGAGGCCGAGCTGAAGATGTTGGACAGCAGGGACAGGACCAGAAATGAGTCCATCAGAGGGACAGCTCAGTCAGGGAGGCTGGGACAGTCTGAGCATGTGCAGAGGAGGGAGGATGAAGAGACCTCAGGGGAGGTTTGTGGATGATCCTCTGTGGCGCCACCTAAAGGAAGCAGGTCGTGACTACTTTGTAAATTTATACACACACACACTGCTCAAAACCTTACAACAGGAGGGAACTCCAGGCCTCGAGGGACGGTGTCCTGCAGGTTTTACACGTGTCCTCAACATGTCTCCAAGTTCTCCAGAGGCCTGGCAATGAACTAATCATGTGATTCAGGTGTGCTGACCCTGCAGGCCTGGAGTCCCCCCCCCCTACAGTGTTTCTTTAATTTTTTGGAGCAGTCACATGACTGAGGAAAGCCGACATGAGATCATGCGGTGGATGCAGCGCAGCTGAAATGAGCTGCAGAGGAAACACGAGCCAGAGTTTTATCCAGTGTCCATTTATTTATGTATCTGTCATTCACTACTTTAACTCTAAACATTTTTTTAAGAAATTCAAGTATTTGTTGGGAACACAAGTCAAAAAAACCAAAAACTTTGCTAAAACAAAGACAAAAACATCTTTTTAAAACATCATATTTAGAATAATCAACACATCAAGTTTCTTTTCATAGAAGAAAAACGAGTCTAATCTCTACAGCAGAGCAGCCGCCTCGCTCCGCTTCACCCGACGGCTGATCTGAGAACAGTGCAGGGAGGGAAAGACCAAACACGGGTCGCCTAAGCTGGAAGGACCGCTACGACCACGACGACAGAAACGAGGAAAGAGACGAGTCCGGAGGGAAAACGGCCGAGTGACCGCGCGTCTCTCTGAAGTCAGAGTTGCACTTTTAGTCGCTGCGAACATCTGCTGAACATCTGCAGGCTGGAGAAACGACCCAGTCATGAAGGAGACCATCATCGACCTTTAACAGAAACTCACAGAAATAGGATTTGTGACCCAATCTGCAGCAGGAAACGTGCTGCATGATATTTACGTCACATGATGGTCGCTTTGTTTACCTGCAAGCAACCCGAGGCTGCTCGGACCTGATTGGTCAATACAAACAAAAGTGTGAGTCTCTGGACGAGTGACAGGTTTGCCTGACGAGCCTCACGATCACACCGCCAAAAATAAACTTCGTTTTTTAAGAACACAAAATTGTTTCCTTGAGTTTTCTTTAAGTTTCCTAAACGGCCATTTTCCACAGTTGTTATTGATTTTACTGTAACAACCTGCAGACGTCTGCGGCGCACAACGCTAACAAAGAAACGAACCAATCACACGACCTCCTGACGACGCTCCGGTGCCACCAATCTGTCCGTGCTCGTAATTTATAAGGAGGCCAAGAAAGAAGCTTCATGATGAACAATGTCGTCACACAGCCGAGCCTGTGCTGAGGAAAAGAAGTTGGGCGTGAGGTGGAAGGAAACTCCTTCGAGGTTAAGGTCAAAGGTCTTCACACAGAATTCCTCTGCAGGACAAACCAACCAGCAGCAGCGTTCCGGTCATGTGACTGAAGTCAGACAGAGCTGCACACGTGCAGGTGGGTTGTGTGTGGTTTGTTGTTGTTGTTACGTAAACGTTCTCGTCTCCGGACTCGCATAAAAACAAAGAAAACCCCCAAAAAATCTAATTCGATCACAACAAACAAAAACAAAATAAAAGCCTGCTAATAAAATCACTTCCTAAAGATGAATTAAATAAAACGACCACAAAAGGTTTTCGTCATCTTCGACAAACTCAACCATTGCACAGCATTCAGACCCAAACGCTCTCCGCGGGGTAATAAATATACACATGCAGATATACAAGTCGCCCTCCGCGTTTCCACGGCGACGCAAGCTGAGGTTTCAGGGGTTCCAAGAAAGTTTA